GTAATTGTTTACAGAGGAATGATTTGCAGCGCTCATAAAAAACTGTGGTTAGACTGCAAATTTAGCGCATCAAAAGTAAGTGGTAGACATGTATGACATGCTCAGGTTTATCTGGTTTGCAGATGAATCCTTAACGTATTACAAATTTCATGTGTGCAGCATGAAAACACCATGGGGTTTTCCCTTATATTGTGAATCTACAAAAATTACAAATTGCAAAATTACAGATCTACAAAAAAACTGCAAACCCCACTTATCATCCAGCATCAGGGATGCTTCAACCCAGGCACGGAGATTGTGAAAACCACACAGAATTAGCGACCGGTAAATAGCTCAGGCAGTTGCGGCACAAATTCACTGTAGAGGAAGGACCAGTCCTAGTTCTCCCAAATGACCCCTCTGAAAGCAGTCAGTGCATTTCACTGCAGCCTTCTAAAACACGCTTTTGGCTATTAGATGAAGAGCAGTGTGTGGGAAATGAGGTCAAGGAGATTCCTGTAAAGTGAAATCAGATGCTTAGGAGCCGGCAGAGCAAAAGGGGAGTACCTCCGTCACAGGGTGAGAAGGAACGAATCTTTGAATAGCTGAGAAACCACCTCTTGTGCAAATACTTTGTTCCTGTGCAAACATACTTTCTAACACGGCCTAAACCAGTCAGGCAGGGGCTGGGCGAGGAAGCGGCACCGACGGGCTGCAAGCTGCCCGGTGGCCGTGGAGCAGCCTGGCTGCTGCTCGTGTGCGGTCACATCACCCTCACCCTGCGTGACACTGCCACCCGGCACGGCCGTCACCAGAGCTCCTGGTCTGCTCCAGGTTAGGGTGGTTGGCTAACCACTGTGCCCGCGGCTGCTCCGCTCTTTCTCTTCTGCTTGGGCAAGGCCCCTCTCAAGGGATCCTCTGCCTTGGTGGGACTACTGTGTCACCCTCCCGGTAGCCATCTCAAGAGCTGGGAATTAAGAAAACACATGATAATTAAGTTTTGTAATTCCATGTTGTTTGCATAGCACTCGGATCATGTAGAAGCTTGCTTATCGACGGGGCAAAGCAAAATCCATTTGGTAAGTGTGTTTGCTGAGTCTGCAGAGTGTCCTCCGAGGGGCTCTGTGCCCAGGGGCTGGAGCTCGCGTGCCAGCCGGCTAGAGCGTGGTACGGCCGTGCTCTGCCCAAAGCCCTGCCTGCTGTCTGCCCTGGAGCGGCTGGAGCCGGTGATCGTGTCCATCAGCGCCACGTCCCACTGGACTGACGGCATCTGGGAAAAAATTCTCTCTGGCAACTCTTGAAAAGACTCTTGACTCATTTCAGCCTTGCTGCTCTCTCAGCAGTGCATTTACCCACGGAGCAGTACTGAGGATGGCCCAGTGCAAGGCTCACTTGAAACCACATTAATTTATGGGACTTAGAGCTTTTAGGGGCAGTTGTGGCCATCGCTTCCCAGTTCCTGGCAGTGGCGTGTGAACTTTTCCCCTCCTAAGCAGGGCTGGGCAGACAGGCACTCAGCATGATTATTTTTCAGGCAATCGTAGTTGTGGTAGGAATCCCGTAAAAGAGATAGAGCCGGGGTGCCCGTAGCACCCGTGTGAGGATGGAATAAACCCCCCAAAGCACACCTGCTCAAGTGGAGTCAGCTTTCCCAAGACCATCGACCACATGCCAAGGACTTAAGTAATTTTACCTGGTGCAATGTCACTCTGGTCAGGTAAGACGCATCGCTTCGGCCCTGTGAGCTAGCAGGGCACCAGCACACGCTTCCACCGCAGCTCTGCAGCGGGAGCAGATGCATTGAGGCACCCTGCAGAGCTCTGCACCGAGGAACAGCACCCATGCCCTGGGGCAGCACCGCCCCTCCTGCTTCCCTGGCCCCTCAGCCTTTGGGTCAGGGCAGGCAGGGCTGTATCAGAGCAAGGAAAGACGAGAGGGATCTTACCAGGGAAGGCACAGGATGTCTGATGGCATGCCAAGTGCCCAGGGGACAGGCTCAAACCCATCGCTGCGGCTTAAAACCGCCGCCCCCAGAGCAGCCTTTGCCAGAGGTTTCTCAGAAGTGCTGCCCGCCGGGTGGATTTGGCTGTTCCCACCCAGGAACCACCCCACAACGCCGGGAATCCTCACAGCGCAGGTTCTTCTCCCATCCTGCCTGAAACCGCTGGATATTTCGGTTTCCATCACTAGATGGTGCAGGAGACAGGCGCAGCGCCCGGCAGGGCTGGGGCTCGGCCTGCCCCCATGCCCCTGCACCCCATCTGCGCCTATGCACCTCATGTACCCCATGCACCCCACCACCCCCATGCATCCCTACACTTCCCATATAGCCCCATGCACCTCAGGAATCCACGGGCATTTGCCACTATCTACCCCACGCATCCCATACATTTCCTCTGCACATCATGCACCCCCCCATATGTTTGGAAACGCCCTGGAACGGTGCCTGGGGAGCTGGGACTCTCCATGCTGAGGATGGACTAGACACCTCCCAGGAGGGACGCTGGTGGCTGGTGCTGCCTGGGGACAGGAGCAGGGATCGGGTGGCCTCTTGAGGTCCCCTCCAGCCGGCTTTTCCAACGACGGTGCTCAGCGTCCCTCAGGTGAGCCCCAGCCACCGGGCCCCAGCACCGCCATCCCGTGCTGCCACCAGCTTGCGTCTGCTCTATGTCAATCAGCTCTGAGAGGGCAGACATCTGCCACTCGCCTCCCGGCACCCCTTGGGTTAGGAAGTGAAGAACTAAGGTGTTTCTTCAAAAAAAAAAAAAAAAAGTAGTTGTTTTCATTAATAAAGCTAAAAGCCTGAAGTGTGCTTGAGCAGCGTCTTTGCACAGCAAGAGAGCGACGCTGTGCACATTAACTGCCCAAAGCAGCAGCGCTGGCCGCAGCCCAGGCCCTCCCCACCAGCTCTCCCTCCGCAAAGGAACTGCTTTAGGACTACGTAAAAATTCAAAATATTTAAATGTCCCAGCGAGAGAAGCTGCTCCTGCGCTGGGGGAGCTCTGCGGGTGTCTCCTGGCAGCCTGCGCTTTCCTGGGGAGAAACAGAGAGGCAAAATAACTTGCAGATAAGTGCCCCTACAGTCAGGAGCAGTTTTGCCTCTCTTATTATACACGTGGGGAAGATTTTTTCCCCTAAAGTAATTAAAATAGCTTCTTTCACACATGAGAAAGGGAGGAGAGAGAACTTTTCCAATGAGACTCTCTTCCTCTACCTCCCCTCCTATGGCACAAGGACTTTTATCCTAATACAAATGGACCAGCTGAGACTCTTTTAAGGTCCCTGCGGCAGCCGTCCAATAACAAAAACAATGTTAAACAACTCCAACAAAGCAGCAGAAGAAAGGGGGTGTGGTGGTGGAAATAATGCCCGGCTAAGTAGGAAACTTTAATGATGATACATGGAAGAAGTTAAACAATTAGAACTTAAATCAGTTTGGCCCCGGTCCCATCTCATTTAGTAAATAAGTGGTGCCCTTCATCATGTTTGATCTTACGTGTCATTTTTTCCAGAGCAGCGAGGAGCCCGGAGGAGGCTCCCGGGGCTGGGCAAGTCAGACGGCGGCTGCTGCATGGGCCAAGGCTGCCACAGGGACAGCAGGGGGGTCTCAGAGGGGCCCCAGCACCACCCAGGCACCCTGCGTCCCCCTCTTCAGTCTCACACCTGGGGATCGCCCCGCGGAGCTCAGCCGTGAGACTGAAGCCTCGCAGCAGCAGTGCCCAGGGCAGAGGGGCCGGGGGTCTTGGTGGCTACAACATATAACCACATCTGACATACACATCCATTCAAGGGTGAATGAAAAATCACTAACTGGGGAGAGAGTCATAAGCATGTTAATTATTTGAGTATGTGCACTAATTAGACATGGAGTTACACAGACCCAAACTATATGAAAATCTTCCATACCACATGCGGATCCTGAGAGACTTTGGCTTTTTAAATATTTTTAGGCACATACAAGCAACAATTTCCATATATGAACGCTTTCCAAATAAAACCTTTTAGATTAAGTATCTGTTGGAGGCACTTAACTCGCATTACTTCTGACCTTCCCACATACCAGTGAATCGAATATCAATCAACTGTTAAAACCAGACCTATCGAGGTTTAGCTACATAAGCAAACATCCCTCTATCACATAGCTGCTAAACCCCAGCGAGCCCGCCCTCGCCCTCCTGATCCCCCGCGCTCCTACCACCCGGCGGGTTGCTGTGCTTTGAGGGTCAGCAATGACGGGGTGGGGCAGGGCTTTGGGGACCGGCTTTGCCCCCGCCGTGCCGGTGTCGCAGCTCCAGGCTCCCTGTGCTGGCTTATGGGGAACAAGCCTGAGCAGTCCTGCAGCCGATGCCATGCAAGGGGATTTTCAGGAGCGCTGTTTGCTTACAGCTGTACCGCGGTTTATATCATCCTTGGGAAAAAGGGTGTTTTCCAGCCTAGGTGCTGCCCAGATCCCTCCCATGGTGACACGGCAGGTGACATCCTCAGCCCCACAGAGCTGGGGCTCCTGGTCCAGCGAGCGCCTGGGCCATCAGGTGGGAGAGGGTACCCTTGGAGCAGCACCGTGGCTGGTTAAACACTGCTAATAAACCTAATTCATTTGCCTTATGCAGGGGCAGACGCAATAAAGCTCTGGACCATCGCAGGATGAGCTGGGTCACACCGGGAGAGGAGCCGGGCACCCGCGGGCGTTCACGTAATGGGCAGAGACACGATGGCCCTTCCCATCTCCGCACCCGATGGACGCAGGGTCCCAGGAAGGTCTCAGGAGTTAAAAAAAAACCACAACCCCAAAACAACCACCCAACACCTCCCCCAAAACAGAGACCAAACCTCAAACAAGGCTCCCAATGCACAATGCCGTGAGAAGTGCGGCTCTCTGTTTCCGAGACGCTTTTTAAAGTTTATCCAGTGTCCTCCTTATCTGGATGCTGAGGGACCCCCGCACGTAGGGGTACTGCCACGGGAGACCCAGTCAGGGACCAGGCAAAGGCCAAGCCAAGTAACGCGAGACGTAAAACCGACAATACAATTTTATTTTGTATTTCACACAAACAGCACCCTCCCCACGTTTTACAGAGTTAAATAGCGTTACCTGGTGACACGGGAGGCTCGCTCGGCTTCAGGCAGCTCCTACAAACCCGATAACGTGAGCGATGTGGCCTGAAGCCAGCAATCAACGTGCCCTGGGATGGGGTTGTGTGAGGCGGCTCCAGCTTTAGGCTCCTCGGGGGGGATCAAATGAGTTGATTACTCCTAAGAAAGGGTATCATGAGACAACCGCGTGGAAAAATTGATTTGTGGGAACTTGGTTGCAAATTAAAAGAAAAGCCCCCTGCCCAGTGCTCCCAGTGCTGTACTGGTGCAGCAGCCGGGCAAGACCACTAAGGATGCCCCACCAGCAGCCCGCTCAGGTGTTCAGAATGATGGCAATGAAACAATATATGAATTTCTAAGCTGTTCCCTGTGCCAGAACTGCAAGACACCTGGAATCCCCGCAGGACACAACCGCCGTGCAGATGGAGCCAAACAGGGGACAAGAGCTGCAGAGAGTGACATACAGCCCCCGCCGGCAGCTGCGACCGTCTGCCATGGAAAATGGGAAAAGCCCCCGGGCACCATTCGTGTCGTGAGTTTTCCGTCGCTCAGCCGAGCTGGATTCAGTCCTGGGTTTGGGTGAAGCCTGAACTTTCAAGCTATGGGCACCGGAGCTCGGCCCAGCAACGCGTGAGGTTAATGGGGGAATTCAGAACAAGTGTCTCTGATAATAGCAAACTAACGAGCTCCAAGCAGAGGCCTGCAGACAAGGGGCAGTTACACTTCCCACCTGATTATTGTTAGTCTCCTCATCATTTACAGTCATCCCAAGTATTTCCCTTCAGATGGTCCAACCTACTGAGCAAGGCTATGCAAATACAAGAAAAACAAGGCTCAGCGCTGTGATAAGATTTTCCACGTGTTTCTTGTACTTTAATAATTAAAAATCCTGATGGCAGAAGGAGGGGGAGGTGCTAGCAGGAATGCGCAGGGCCAGCATCCCTCCGGCTGCGAGGTGGTACCCAGCCGGGATGCACGCTTGGGCAGCCCAGCCTGCTGGGAGGCTGCCAGGCACAGGGCAGGAGCTGCTTAAATCCCTACAAGGCACCACACAAAAAGGTCTAAATGCGGCCCTGTGACACCCCAAAATCCTTACTCCCTCTGGGGTGCAGAACCTGTAAGGAAGAAATTGTGTGTCCATCCCCAGCTGGATAATGCTCCTGACCCTCCTCCAGTCCCAGATTTCTCAGAGCCCCGTTATGGAGAGCCAGAAGGGGAAGGAGCGCTTTGGCCATTGCCCCATCTCTTATTTTCCTTTTCCACAGAAGAGAAGCGAGCACAGACATTTCTTTTTCTCCCCCCCATCCTCCCTCTCTCAAGTGAGGGGGACAAGGGAGGCCGTCGCAAAGCAGAAGTAACCTCGTGGTACCAAACACACGGCTCCTACCACCACGTGCGGTGGCATCCAGCAGCTGGGTGACTAAACTCTCTCTCCTCCAAACACCAACGTGAAAAAAAAAAAACATTTCTCCAATGAAGCAACATCCCAAGATCCTCAAAAACTTTTCCCCAATCAAATAAAGTGGGCAACGGACCTGGCTAAAAGCGCAGCCTTGGGATACGGGTATAAATCCGAACCCATTGCCTCTGGACTCGGGGCTCACAGCTGGGCTCACTGCCGCTCCAGTTACCTCCCTAAGCGCCTGGAGGGATTTTGTCACCACCTCCCCACTGCGAGGCAGACCCAGATGGCAGCAGTCTGGGGATCTAGAAATAAAGGACTACAAAAATATAGCAAAAGCTGGGGAAGAGTCAGAACGGCCAAAGCACGGACAGCCGTGGGGCAGGAGCATGGGAGGTGGGAATAGCTGAGGTGGGCTCCGTGCCATTTCAGTGTCCTGTAAAGGTGTGCTCGGGTGATTAGATGACAGAGAACAACTGAATTAGGAGTGAAAGAAGGAAGAAAAAAAGCCTCGTCGCACACTCAATGTGGAGATCTCTTGGGGAACTCGCATCGGTCTGTGCCAGCCTCAAACTGCACTGCCCTGATCCAGGGAATTTCACAGCAATTACTGTTTTAAGAGACTGCCCTTCCTTGGCACATCTGCTGAGATGGGACTGAGCTGGGGACCCCAACCCACCGGAACCGCGTCCCAGACTCCTCAGGGGGTCGGTTTTTAACCACCGGGGCAGCTGGAGGGCAGGAGATTAAGGTCAGGATACAGGAGCCAGCTTCTTTTGTTAAAGTGCCTTATTTTCTTTGAGCTTTTAAAACATCTTCCTTGCTTTTTCAGAAGAGGGAGGCAAAAAAAGGAATACTGGTTTTATATGAAACAGAGTATAGAATTAATCGATATTTACACAGATCTTGGATAAGGTTATGGCACAGACTAATAACCCAACACAGCAACCCAAAAAGCAGAGTGTCAAAAAGAAGGGAAAAACCTGTTCGTATGCTTTCAACACCATCCCCTGGAGATCCCAAGTGTAAACGGTTTTATCTAGGAAAAGGCATTTTAACTTGGGCTTTGGTAATCGGGGTTGATTACAGCCACATTGCGCAGCCGGCGGGGAGGACGTGGGTGGGCGCGCGGCCGCCCGACCTCTCCGGAGCACAGCCTGGGTTTAGACAAGTTCAACTTTAGCGTTTGGATAAACAGCCACTACGTCATATCCCTCGGGGGGCTTAACCCTCTCCTTCGCGTGCGTCTCGCAGTACAGCTGCTCTTCGATGAAGAAATACCCTCTCTGCTTCAGGTTGAGGCCACAGTCGTCGCACATGAAGCACTCGGGGTGGTAGAGCTTGTCTCGAGCTTTGACGATCGTGCCCCTGGTGAGAGATGGGGAAAGCTCGGGTGAGACGGAGAAACCGTGAGCATAAACAGCTCTTCCTGCTGCCTCGAGTAAAACGGAGTAAGTGAAGGAAAGCGGCATGTAGGGGCACGTAAGGGTGTTATTGTGGGTTCCCACTGCAACATCTCAGCCCACCCAAAGCTGCCACCCCGCTCCAGGCGTGGCTCCGCCATATTTCTGTGGGAAGGGATGCTCCATTCCCATTTGCCCGCACCCCTCTGCGGCACCACGGCTCGATGCAAAGCAGACTCTCAAGCCCAGCCCAGATCTGAGTATCGGGAGCCAGCATCCTCCAAGCGCCGCTGGCAGGTCTGGGGCTGTGCACACGCGCAGGCACCGTGGCTTTTGGAGCAGAGACCCTCAGCTCACAGCACCAGCAAGAAGGTGGTTATAGGCATTTGCAGAGCAGAGGACTCTCGGCCAGCAAATCTGTCTTGAGCAGAACGTAAATTACAACGGAACAAATTACAACACGATGAAGCAGAAAAAACACCTATATTCTCTGAAATCAGACCCAACATCCATCTGTCGGAGAGTAACTTCAAACAAACAAACAAAAATAATCTGCAGACCTCTTCTACTTGACCCTTGATGCGTTTCTCCCTCCATAAGGCAGTGAAAGAGTGCCAGCGCCGCCGGTGCTATTCATAGTCCCCGGGCAGTTACTATGATAAGCAGGGCAGAAACCATCCCATGAATCATCCCTGTTTTGCTGCAAGATTCCCTTAAAAGGGGCAATGCAAACCATATTCCTCAATTCCAGGTTTACGTACGGTTAGCAAAAACCAGAAAGGGATTCAAGGTGTTCTGCTACAAATTCTAACCTGCGTGTCTGGTAGGGCCCGACCCAGCCACGTCCCTGCATTACTGTCCCCACCGAACTGGGGGCTCCAGCGAGACGCGACACTTACACGATCCCGTTCCCGCAGCGGGTGCACTCGGGGAGCATCTGCAGCCCAGACATGGCACCGCCAAGCTTTGACACTGGGGACTTGATGTTTCGGGGGTTGCTCAGTTTGTCGAGTTTTTCACCTGCCAAGAATTTTAAACAGACACAGATTGAAAACTTGTCCTCTTGGGGCTGCTTCCCCCCGCCCCCTCTTTTTTTTTCCTTTCCTTTTTTTTTTCCTGAAGCAGTCAGATGAGTCTCTGCCTGTCACAACAGAACTTGCAACTGCTCATCCTAACGAAGCACGGATGGTGGCAGAAGCCCTTGGCTGCATCAGCAGATGATCTATCCGCACACTGTGATAGCGCCAGCTCAGTATATACACCTTGTCAAAAGGCAAAGCAGCCTCATTCTAGAAATGAGAGATGAATTTGGCTGCAATACTATTTACTAAGTTAAGAAATATAAATAGCAAAAATCTCAGAAAAGCTCCAGAAAGAAGAGGTTCTATCACACCAACATTTCAGGCGCACTCGGTAGATCCACCATCAGTCAAGGAGACAAAAACGAAAGCCTTTTGGAGAATTAGGCAAATGAAAACAAACAATAATAGAATGACATGCATTTTTCTTCCTACAACACTCATTTAATCTCAATCTAAAATAAAACATTGTGACAGAAGATAAGGTCTTCTGGGGCACCAAGCCTCCCTTCATAAAGATCCAACGACGGGGAAGGAAGCAATGAAAATTTTGTGCATACGAACAATATCATGGCAAAGTTTTCAGCGTTGCAGCCCCCCTCCCTACAGATCTATCATCTGCCCTCGCACTTCGGACAATACAAACACGCTTGTTGCCAACCACTGGGACACTTAAAAGCCTCCAGTATTCACTGCACGGTTTTTCATGGCTCACGGCTCACTGGTCTTTTGGGTACACACTGATCTGTGGTTCCTCTGTGATGGCCTAAGGTTATAGAAAGGAAAAGCTCATGAAAAAGGACAATATATTTTACTCCATCAGCTGACAGAGTTTGGAAAAGCAGCAGAGGAGCTCTTGGACGAACAAGCCATTCTTCAGCGTCTGGGCTTCCTACGCTCCCCCGAGCTTCCAGGGTATTTCAGCCCACGGTCAATCTTAAATGTGTGCTTAAAGCCCACGATGCCCAGGAGGTCTCAGCAGGGCCCCAGGCACTTTCTGACTCAGGTGTCCATACACACTGCACCAGTTTTGGAAACTTCCACTTGGATCTTGCTCTGAAGTGCCCACCGCGGCTCCAGGAACGTCTGCATTTCCTAAAGTGAGTCGTTAGTACCTGGAAGCGGTGCATCATCACCGGTGGTCGCTCACTGATCCCGTACAGGTTCACGCGGTAGGTTTTGAAGGGCATTGCTCGGCAGAGCTTCCTTCCACGGAGAGACCCCCCGCTCCCCCGTCCGGTGTGTCTCTAGAACGCCCGCTGTCCTGGGCTCGGCTGGGGAGGAGGGAGCACGCCCGACCCTTCCCCCCCCGGGGTTACTCTGGGGATGCGCAGGCATCCTCGCACAGCAGATCCCATCTCCAGACACGGCTCTGATTCAGAGTCCAACGCTGCCAACGGTCCCAGCCAAGCGAGTAAAACCTAAAGAAATAATTTCCCACCACGCCCCACTTTCCCAAGATAGACTGTAATATTCAGAGACGCTGAGAGCCTTGGTACATGCGAGACTGTCTCCGAGGAGAGGACCGGCGCTGCTCTACCCCGGGGGTCCTCCGAGCGCTCGGCTGGCTCCAGCCAAGCTCACCTGTCGAGTCCTTCCGCTGCCTTGCTGGGAATTAACCGAAACAACTGCTCAAGCTGTTGGCTTCCCCCAGCATGAGTGTGCTTGGACTAGACACACTCATCTGCCAACATTTAACAGTTAAGCTGTCACTGTCTCTCAGACAGAGTGCTTGGATAAACTGCTTAAAAAGGGGGGGGGAAGAGATCTCACAGCAAAACGAGCCCTGCAGAGAAGGCTGCTTCCCATCTTCCCGAACGATGGATCATTTCCTTCTACGTACCAGCCCACAGACTCATCGTAATTTAGGGTCCTCAGCAGGGCAGTGAGATGCTTTAACTCCACAATCTTAACCATCGCTGTCCCCGTTTGTGGCTGCAGTGCTCATTCTTCCCGCGCCAAGGGCACCTACAGAGACGACTGCTGCGATTCCTCCAGCCTCCACCAGATCCTCAGTACGAAGCATTGCTCCTTACAGGCACGGGATGGAGCTGGTGATGCTGAAGAAAATACGGCTTCCAGTAGAAACACCTTCCATATAAAACAGGTCGTTGCCTGAGACACCCAGCTCCTCAGGAGAGGAGATCTTGACTTTAAAAGGACAACGCACAGCAGGCTCGGGCAAAAATGTGTAATTTTAGGCTTAAGGAAAAAGGAGCGGGGTGGAAGCTGTAAAACAACCTAGCAGGAACACTCACGTGGATTTCAACCGTGATGAAACATCACTGAGCTTTATGCCAGGAGAGATGCTTTTCACTTAATTTCTCATCCCTTATGAAATAAACACTGATAGCATCGTAACGACCGAGGCATGAGCAAGACCGTGCCTGCAGCCAGGCGCACATCCCCTCTGCCTGCTGCGCAGCACAGCCGAGAGGGAAAGGGTCGGTGGCAGAGCCCCCCGAGGTGACCTCTCCAGCCTGCCGCCACGCTGGCTGGTACCCATCAGCAGCGTCTCAGCCCCAGGCTCCGAACACGCGGCGCTGCATCAGCGATGGGCTAGCGCCAAGACACTGCCAGGGTCCAGGGGCTGTCCCGGCACCCCTTTGTCCTCCCCTTCCCCCAGCCCACACCCTTTTCTTTCTCCCTTCCTCCCGAAGGGCAGCGCTGGGTTTCTGCCACCCCAGGGCCGCAGGATGCGAGGGGAGGCAGGAGCAAACCAGCCAAGCTTCAGTTTTGTTCCCTTCTCCTGGCACAGAGAGAGTAGCAAGCGTTATTAACCGGGATTAACGCAGGCGCTTCCTATTTGCTTCTTCCTAATGAGGAGACCTGGGGGTGCAGCAGACGCCTCGCTGGGAAGCTGCTTGTGCTTGCTCTTGGTGAAGGAGATGAAGGTACATCTGGAACTTGTAATTAACATCAGTTTTCCTGCCAGCCTAGGAGGGGCTGTAATATTTACACGCGGTACTTCCAAGGCCGATCCCATCTCAGGCTTTGTGGACATGCCTAAGTACTACTGAGGAAACTAAAATGGGCGGAAACTCTTGATGCTCAGAAGTTACCTGCGATCATGCTTCTTGTGAAGCAAGAAGCAATATCCTTCTAGTCAAAGAATATCGTTCTCCATCATTTTATATACAGAGAAACTGAAGTGCAGCAGCCTGACTCGCTACCTCTCGCAGCTTCATAATGAGATTTGCACTAGTTGGTGTTTTCCCATAAAATCCAAGTTCCTGGATTCACATGATTGGAGTATGAGGCTCTTGGAAGGAAGCAGAAAGTCGTCTTGCCCTAATGACTGTAAAGCGAAGCCTGAAAGTTTGAACATAAAAGCCCCAATGGACCTAAGGCTGAAAGGCAAATAAAAAGAAGCTGAAGTGTACAGTTTGGGGACCTTATTATCTAATGCTTGGATTTGGCTCCTGCCCGTGTTAACGACACAGGCAGGAAGCTGTGACAGCCCTGAGAAGTGAGCCAAGAGCTCCTGATCTCTATCCCGGCGTTGCTGAGGACCATCCCACGTCCTTATGCAAATGTCATTTACTCAAACAGGCCCACGGTTCTCCACCGGTGATCTTACACAACCGCTTCAGGCCATTACGTTTCACAAGCCATCTCAGGAAAACAGCTGCTGCGCAGAAGCTGTTGGCAAATCCAACTTTCACATGATGCTCAAGTCAGCCACAAAATTTGGTAAGCCCCCGGATGCTGGCCTGAGTATCTGAAACCCTGATTTGAAACCTGCCATCTGGGTGCTCCCCCCTCACAGGGTGCTTGGACCCTCCCGTGTTGAGCTGAGCTGCCTCAGCACCGAGGCGACGTGTGGTAAAATGACAGAGCAGGGGAGTTTGCAAACCCGCCCCCCATCAGCTCTCGCAGACGGGTCCTTTAGAGGCTTTTCAAGCTTCTGGACCTCAGCAAGGGAAGGAGAAGGAGGTTAAGCCTGCAACAGCAGCTTGGTGGGTGTGGGGCCATGGAACGCGGTGCAGAGGGACCGAATGATGGTTCAAGCCCCGCAGCAGTGCAGTGCCACAGCCCTGGTCGTGGGGAGGTGTAGGGGACTCCTTGGGACACGCTCTGGGTGCCAACCTCCTTACCGTTCTCGCCAGCCTCCAACATGCCCTGCAAGTATCGGAAGGATCCCGACTGCTTAGGCTCCGAAATGGGCTTTTCATAATCCTGAAGCATCTTGTAGACATCTGACTCCACATCAATCCCATTTCTGTTCCGTGGGACAGACTTCAAGGGGTCAATGCTGTTTTAAAGAAAAGAAAGGCTCAAGTCAAATATAAACAGCAATTGTCAGCTCATCAGGGAGGTACTGGAACCTCCACATTCCCACAGATTCAATTAAACACCTCTCTGTTCCCATGCGTTTCTCTGCCTGGAGGTACGCCTGTCCCAGGAACAACCATTGGGCCAGGGAAGTTAAACTTATTCCCTGTTCGGCTCCCATTGAGCAACACAGCGAGGGCTGGCCCAGTTACCAGATGCCTTCAGGAAAGAGGGCAGCTGCTTACAAGCACTGTAAATTGCTCTGCCACACGTGGAATTTATTGAAAAAAAAAAAAAAAAAGGGTAAAAATTGCTCTGCCACACGTGGAATTTATTGAAAAAAAAATAATGGGTAAACCGATGCATTCCATTAATTACGTAGGGCCAGGGGATCCACCCACCCCTTGTACCACCATTAGGGCACCCGGCACAGGGAGAGTGTGTGCTGCTGCCAGGCACAGGCACGACAGCAAATCCCCTCACCATCCACAAACGCCTCTCTTGAAGTTAGTGTTTCTGTAGGTGACTGCATTAAAAGATCCATTTGCCAGACACAGCCCACAGCTTAAATGAGAAAACCACCCCACCGGGCTGCACAGCACCGAGGAGGGGACACGAGAGCAGCCCCGTAACTCCACCACGCGCCGACCTTCAGCATCCAGACCTGAAGCTGCTCCTTGTCTGTATGCGGCATGATCGGGGTACAACAGGCCACAAACAGTAATTTAAACCATTATTCCAGTTCATTCAATATATCAAAACATGAAAAGCAGAGTTTGGAATCAAAAATATTTCGGGTACGTGTTTAAGTGTCCCGCTGGGTAGAGACGAATTCAGGTGCTGTTTGTGCTTCGCTGAGGCCCCACAGCACAGCTTCGTGGGAAGGGGCTCCTTTTCCTTTTTAAGGAGAAGGTCATCAAGGTCATTATAAAACCAATAAAAATAGCGAAAACCCTGAACCCCATTAGATAGTTTAACACACTTTACCCATCATCTGACTCATTTTCTCCACCAGCATTATATTCATGCCCGCTTAAAAAAAAAA